TCAATTTATCTTCAAGAGGACTTAACATTTTGTTATATTAGGTAGATCACCTAGTTTTTTTTTTTTTTTTTTTAATAGACAAACAACTGGTTGTCTGGTTGTCTACAATATTTTAATTCACTTACCTCTTTTTTGGCAATATATTCATTTTGATGTTTTCCGAAAATACTACTTAATCAATTGACCACAGAAACTTCTTAATATTTATTTCTTCATAACGATAGATAGCTAATAAAGTAACGAATTATTTAATATTAAAATTTATATTAAATGACTGCCATTAATAATATTAGCAATATTTACAACCAAGGTGGAATAATTATTTATTATCACTTATCAGTTATCACTTATCCGGGGGTCCTTATAATTCTTCAAGACCAGCGTCCAGACTCCAGACTGATAAAGCAGATAAACCTTGCTGTTATTTAGGGGCCCCTGCCATCGTGGTCGGGGGGCAATATTCTATGCCCGAACCAGCAGCTGCTGCCTAACGCCACAGTCAGTGAGTCAGTCAGTCTGTTGTGCCTCTAGCGACTCGAGGATTTCGTGATAACGCCAGACGAACAGTGCACGTGCGCGACGGAATGTAACCGGCCGGCCTCGGTCTATTGGCTACACTGTACTCGGAAGCGCAGGGCCAATCATTTGCAGCCGTCGTCAATTCCGCCGCCGTCGTTCTCTCCTCTGACCGTCTGCTCGACTGCTGTAAGCCGTTTTAGCCGTATGATAGGTGTTCACWCGACTTGTACGTAATTTCGTAAATCGTATAAGCTTATAACAATATTATATTTAATAATAATAATAATAATAACAATAGTAATACAACGACGAACTTAGGTTTTACGRTTTTCACTCCACCACTCTTCAGCAACCAGCCGGCAGCCCTGCATCTATAACGACCGAAGTCATCGAACTGACGTTCTCGCTTTTTTCACGCTGCTGTTAGCTAGCAGTTACTTCGTTCGAGATGGCCATCTCAAACACAGTGGGTGAGTACACGCGGACTGGCAATGCACACCGAGACGACGCTATCGTTCACCGATCGACCGCGTTGTAATGATTTTCTCCGTCTGCTTCCACGAATTGTGGTTGAGCAGCAGCGGTGGTAACCGCGTTTTCTTCCAATTCCGTATGGTCTGATCGGTCCCCTGTTCCTGTAAAAATAATATTCTATCGCATAACATTAGGTTTTAATATTTTACTTAATCGTGACTTCTGTTTCATCCGATGTGTATTCCCCGAATTRAGTATTAATATTATCGACATGTATRTTGTATAACGATTTATTATTATAATATTCACCCTTGTTTGCCTTAACTTCTGATGAATGAACAATAAATTGCTCTTGACCTGACATCAAAATAAATATCTTAATCGTTCTTACTTGATTTAACTCCCGTTTGTTTTACTTTTATGAATAGCAGTTATATAGTCAAAACACTGGTCATTTACCTAATTATTAATACTATGTTAATGAATATTTTATTGTTTTAGTAATTCCAAGAAATTTTAGACTACTTGAAGAGTTGGAACAAGGACAAAAAGGCGTGGGCGATGGCACAATTAGTTGGGGTCTTGAAAAAGATGATGATATGACTTTAACCCAATGGACTGGAATGATCATTGGACCACCTAGGGTATAAATATACAATATTATCTTAGTTTTAAATAATTATCTTGTTTAATTCAAGTGTTAAGTATTATTAATTATGTTTTCTGATTCAGACTCCTTACGAAAATAGAATGTACAGTTTAAAAGTAGAATGTGGTCCTATGTATCCAGATGATGCACCTGTCGCTCGTTTCGTCACGCGCATCAATATGAATTGTGTGCATAATACAAGTGGATTGGTATGTTGGGTTATATATATTTAATAATTTTTTTCTTTAGCTATTGTATATGTTGTTCCATGTAACTTATAAAAACTATTAAATAAAACATAATAATTCTTAAACAATCATCATGGAAATTTAATTTGTAATGACCATTAACTATTATATTTTATTAAAATTAAAATGCATAATTTAGGTAGTAGGTACTATTAATTGTTATTTGTGCATTACCTACTGCCTACTTTATTAAACACTTATATATTTTATATTTTAATGAACTAGACGTTACAGATTAATTTCATTAAGGATACTTTTTTTATGAAATAAGTATTAACTTAATTAGATTAGTGACAATTTTTTTTTTTTTTTATTGAAACAAAATTTTATATATTTACAATTTGTATTTACAAGTTATACAATAAGTAAATTAGATGAGATTTGATTGTCGGGAGGGGTGACAAATTTTAAAATACAAAAATTTGTTGAATAAGTAATCATTACTTATTGATTTTTATATTACAAAACTCGGAAATGCGAATATTAAAATAGTAAGTATATTTGTTGTGCATTTGATTCTTCAATATTTTCATTGTTGTTTTTCTTTACCATGCAAAATATTTTACAATATAGGTAATAACAAACATAAGCATGCTCACCATTACCGGCAGGGTAATCATACAATTTCATATTAACACATATACATATTTAATAGGTACTTATATTCTTATTCACCCCTAAGTTTTAAAAAGTAATTACTAATTTGTCTAATTTATTTCGAACATATATATCTACTAAGATTATTGCAGATTAGTCCCCACACACTTTTGATTACAAACAATTAAGTTTTATATTTTACCATTTTTTACTAATTTTAAATATTAGAAATGAATTTTTACAAAATTTAATTAATATCTGAACACCAGTGATTATTATTTTTTTTTATAATATCTGTGTTTTCTGAGCAGCTATTTTTTTTCTATTTGTTTATTTTAAAATTCAAATTTAACCGAAATTAATTACTTATTACCTTGATATCATGGTACTTTTATGTTATTTCTAACACCAACTAATACCATGACAATTGTCTATTGTTTGATTCCACTAATTCCTTTTCCTACACATTTCAAAGCTCATAGTCTAACGGTTATTTAAAATTATTATTTTTATTTAGTATCTTTTTACATTTTACTATTCAAATTACGACTGAAAACATTGTTCCTCCAAAAATATAATTTTAATTATTATAATTTTTTTTTATATAACTGATTGTTTGATATTATCAATTTCCACTGCTGTCATAATTAATGTGATAATCATTGTTCGGTACTAATATCACTAAATTATTCGTTTATATATAACCTGATAAACTTAAAAATATGTACCATAAATGAAAAAAGCACTTAAAAGTCATTAAAAAAAA